AGGAGAGGCGGTAAAAGAAAAAAAAAAAAAAAAAGAAATATATATATATAGATATATACTAAAATCTGCACACTTATGTATGTTTTTACCTGAACGAACGAATATTTTTTTATTTTTTTTTTTTCCTCCCATTTTGGTCATACCGTTGGGAAAATTTACAACATGCGCACATCGGTAAGAGAAGAAAGAAAAGAAACCAAGCCAAATTAAATAGGTTTTAAAAATATATACATAAAATGCTCTTACGGACAATTCACATGTTTACACCTCGGGAAGTCCACCATCTTGTTCCTAATCGACACAGATACAGCCTCGGCAGAGCTTACACAAATGCAAGCCTAAACGGTGTATGTTAAAAATTAGCGTCATCTAGACACTACCATAGCTTTTTTTTAAATTCGCTTGTCCAGGAAAAGGCACTCATTAAGCTTTCCTTGTGACAAAATCTTCTCTTAAATGGGCGCTTGCTAAATGAAAGAAGTCTTGCCATTAAAAGGATCCCCCCTTCTTTTACTGTTTTTCCCTCATTAGGATGGTAATTATGAACAACGTTACGGTGACCTTTTACCTGCCTAAAGCAACCACCACGCTGCTTGCATCCAGGCGCAAGTGTCAAGTACTGACTGATCGTAGAATTCGCATCATTAAAGGGAAAAAATGACGTAACTAATCATAAGAATGCTAAATTGGATAACTTCCATAGGGGGCATGAGTTACATATGGAACCAGAATAATCCAGCACATTTTGCATACCTCTCTTCCTCCTTTTATTTCTACATCATCCACGCGTAATCTATTCAGACGCGTGGCTAGCTATACATATAAGGACTTAAATTACACTTCCACATTTTGTAACTGCACAATTTGCGCAGTACACTTTTTTCTTATACATAATTTTTTCAATTGAATTATGAAGTTAAAAGTATAAAGAAGTTAGATAACGTAGGAAAAGGGATGGTTTAATGCATTAAAAAAATGGGTATATATTATACATACGTGGGCCATTATATATCTGCACACATAAGAATCGACGCATATGTGCACAGATAAAAACTCATGCATATTTTGTACACGCATACACATAATTAGACATAATTACACATATGTACATCACAGAAAAATGGAATGCTCTACTTGAAGTTTTACTCATAATGGGACTAATGAATGGATCATTTCTTGTACGCTCTAGACTTTCTTCTTCCTCGTGCCTTTTCAAATTTTCTTCCCTTGGAACGGACGTATGGTCTGGCCTTCGATTTTGGTCTACCTGGGGCCTTACCGAAATGCTTCTCAGCCGTTCTGGCCTTGGTGGGACCTCTTAAAAGTATACACCTCTGTCCCGTGGGGTATTTCAAAGCTAGCTGATCAAAGGTTAGACATTCTCCCCCAGCATCCAAAATTCGTTTTCTAGCCGTTTCGGTAAATCTCAGAGCGCAGACTTTTAACTTTTTGCATTCATATAGCCTCTTATCATCTGAACGGGGCGAAATGAAAAAAAAAGGGGGCATTAATTTGGGGAAGAACATAATATCGTATGGCGCAAGCACGCGTGGGTACATAAAAGTATACACAAATGAGACTCCAATTGGGGGATCACGTGGAGGTGAACAAACAGACGGAGAAATAACATGCACACTTCTCTTTGCTTGCCAAAATTAACTATGCACCACGAAGAGATACACAACGAACAGATGCACCGCGAATACATACAGGACGAGCAAAGCTCAAACGGTTTAATTGAACTTCCACAAAGGAATGATCAGAACGTTCTACCCTCTCCATTAATTACGTCAGAAGACCGTCGTGATTCGTAGAAACTTATTCATCATGTAGATTCAACCGTGCACAGGTGCATAACGGGTGTGGATAAGCATGTACATGCAAGTAGATGCGAATACATACATCTACATACATATACCATATTGATGAGGCATTCACGTTGGCTCATGCACACCCAACTTTTGTAAACGAGAGCAAATTTTCCTTACCCGTTATTGATCCAACGACGACTGCTATGCTGTCCTGGTAGTTGGCCATGTGGCGATGCAATTTGGAGAGCGACAAGGGAGGCCTGAAGCGCTTTGGCATAATAAGTCTTTTGGCAATTATTTTGTTAAAATTGGCATTCGTTCTTCTGGCAAGAAAACGGTATAGCTTCACGAGCAGCCTCAGGTATGGGTTTTTTGACACCAGATTTTTCCTTCCATGTTTTTTTATTCTACCAACATTTTTAAGTGCGATAGCCTGGAGAGGGAGAAAAAAAAGGGGAGGTAAAACATCGATGAGGTGGCAAGACATCCACGTTGGCGGTACAACAGTGCTAACATTTATATGTACAAATGCACATAAGCAGGCGTTGCTGTTTAAAAAGAACTCGGTCGACGGGGATGTACACAACTGGGGGGTCTCATTTTCGATTTCCCAAGTGGCAGATGCACGGCGAACATATATTCTTCCACGGGAAGGTTTGGCTCCACGCGCGCGCACCTTGAGCAACGCAGAACGCGCGCGTGGTAGATCTATCAGTCACACAACAATGTGTTCATTACATAGGCACAAATTGGAGGCACGGTGAAATTCACTTACCATATTTCTTAAGTCAGTAAAAAAAGAAAAAAAAATACTTATAAATGAGATAACCCTGGAGGGTGGAGGGGACGGGTAAATTTCCTTGGAAAACAAAAATTCCTCGCGCGCGGCTTTAAAGTAGAAAATCACAGCGCAGCAGATTATAAGCAATCTCAAGAAAACATGAAATGAGATGTAAAAACGAAAAAAAAAATTACGAATTAAAAGGGTATTTCTTATAAATAAAAAAGCGCGAAGGCTGATGTAAACTCCAGTGTGATGTAAAGTAAAAATATGAAATGTTTTTTTTTTTAGCAAAAACATATTTTGCTAAATTGTTCGCCCGGAGTTTATTTCGACTTCTTAAGCATCGAGTAAAGATGATAAGAATGCGTTCGCGTGTCTCTCACATCACATGGCTTTTTTGCTATCTATATATTCTTTTTTAATTCGAAAGGGGTATTCCCACGTATAAAGTGGTATTCGCACGTATAAGGCGGTATTCGCTATGTTTATATGCCTACCCCCGAGTGATGGGTGTTTCTGTACAACTTTAACAATAAAAAAAAAAAAAGCTGATGAGCTGATCACGGCGAAGGGAAAAATAATTAGTTACATATGCAACATTATATTAGCTAGATTATGCATATGTTCAATTTGGGGTGCTTCAGTTTTGCTTCATTTGTGTGATTAATTTTTTTTTTCGGAAAAATCCGCAACTGCGCCAACTCCGCAGCTATTACGCCGTGTTATATATATAGGTAAATATAAATATGTAATGGTAACAGAGTACAATATTCCTTCTTCCTGGCTACGCCTTATGGGGGGCACGGACGGAAGAGGCTATGCGCGGGGGGAAGGGGTGTTAATGTGAACGGAAATTAATGACCCCTTTGCAAATATGACTCTCGGTTCTTGGAGGAAGAAGAAAAAAAAAAAATGGTATGCCCCGACCCGCTGCTACGTACGTGTTCCATGTGTAGTGTGGCGCTGAGTGGCACAAAGTTAGCGTGCTCTCAGTCGGCTTCCTTTCCCGAGTCGATTTTTTTGCCTACATTTTGTAAAAATGGGGATTAAAACGAATAAGCTAAGTTGAAGTATGATGTACGAGCAAGTGCATACGTGTATCACGCATCGCGCATCACTCATCGTACATTTCCCCTTTTCGCGGCTTTGTATACATCAGAAGGCCCGAGTTGACTTTTTGGAGCACAAAGCGACAGGTCGCCTTATGCGCACGAACAGTATGCGGTTTATACGCCCCCTCTTGTCAACAGGTGAATCGCGACTGCTCGTTTTTCACGTGAAAAATAAATTCGCCAAAAAATAACAAGTTGTTGAATCGACGAAGAAAAATTTTTTTTTTTCTACAAAAGGAACAGCTGATCTGCGGGCGGCTGCAGGCAAGTAGAAAAATAACAAATGCACAAATTTGTTAGCATCGTTTAATTTTCCCCCCTGGACGGAGCCATATAAACATACACGTAAGTTTAAAAACAATTCTTCTTTTTTTTTCCCACTCATATGACTTGATAAAAATATACAAACGTGCGTAAATGTATTAACCTTCTTGTGATAGCTCGCGCGTGCTTGCATGCGAGGGAAACTCTGCTCGATTTAATCCTGCTGAGCGACGGCGAACATATTTGCCTAGGCGATTGCAAAAGGATAACAAAAAAAAGTATACACGTTCATGTTTGCTATTCGTCCCCTTCAGCTTCAGCAGTCAGTAGAGAAGTAGTCATCCCGACAAGGCCACGTCAGCAGCCGACTTTCAAAGGGGAACAAACTTTCGTCTCGCTTCGTTACCTTCCGTTTTTTTTTTTAAAACCAATTTATAGCTGTTGTCAAAATGGTTAGGGTTTCGGATAACTCATTGAAAACAAATGTAAGCCTAGTGAGAGGGAATGCGTGAGGAAAAGGTTGCTTTAGAGGTTGATACCCCCCTGCAGGAGAGGATGCAACTGAGTTCATATTTGTATGCGTATGTGTGGTCACATGTAGGGGTACTTCTCCACCGTTGTCGCTAGTCCACGTAATGTAAAGCATAATTATCTGCTTTGCCCTGCTGCTGCAAATAATTTGGTGGCATACACGTGGGAGGGGTGTAAAACAGAATAGCAATAGTGTACCCGCCCCCCCATACATATATCATTTTCAATGTAACCCTTTGTCATTTTACCCGCCTTTCCAGATCCACCAGTACCACATCGTTGGCAGAGCCATCCCAAGCGAAAAAGATAAGAATCCAAATGTGTACCGAATGTGCATATTTGCGAAAAACGACACGAATGCGAAATCTCGATTTTGGTACTTTATGAAAAAAATAAACAAGCTGAAAAAATCGAATGGAGAGTTACTAGCATGTGAGCTAATACGAGAAAGGTTTCCGCTTCGCGTAAAAAACTATGGAGTCTTACTACGTTATGATAGCCGAACGGGTACTCATAACATGTACAAAGAGTTCAGAGACACTACAAAGGAAGGAGCCATCGCACAACTGTATTCCGAAATGGCAGGAAGACATAGAGCGAGAGCATCCTCCATCAGTGTCATCAGGATATCAGAGATAAGTCCCAAGTTGGTGCGAAGGCCACATATTAAACAGCTGCTTAAGAAGAGGCTACGATTCCCTGCGCTCCATTTGCCCACCTTGAAAAAGGAATACAAAAGAAAATACGCAGCTAAGAGGCCCTCCACGTACAGAATGTAAGGACAAGGAAGAAGAGTCGGGGCAAGAAATAGGCCCCCCCCATGTATACATTTTCTTGACAAGCCTGCCCAATTGTATTGCCAAACAGGAGCACTATATAACGAACGACTGCAGCATGTACAACGGAGTGAAGCACAAGAAGAAAGACATATGTCGTGTGCCAATGCGAAGGAAACGTTTGTTTTATGCCTTTTTTTTTTTCGGAAAATTTATATATATATGTGTGTTTATATGTTTATATGTTCCCTTTATTTTTTTTTATTTTCACATAAAATTAATCCCAAGAAGGATACTAACTATTGAGAAGTTTTTTAAAAAAAAAAGAAAAAAGGAAAAAAAAAAAAATTCCTGTACAGTTGCCGTACCGCCACGCGGCAGAAATGGTAAAGTGGTATATCATCCCCCATTTCGGTAGCACTCAACAACGTGGATATTTGAAAGTTAGAAAAATTGTAATTGTCATGTTAGCGTAATTTTTTTCCCCTCCAAAGTGTACTCAAATTTAAATGTGGTGACAAAAATGCGTTTTCACTTTTCCCCCACTTTGTTGCGCAAAAGGGAAATAATAGTTCCTCTTTGACGTTAACACCTCCGATGGGGAATGCAAAATCAGACAGGGGAAAGAATGGCCCTTCTTTGAGAGGCGCGGGGCCTACACCTGGTAAATAATAATCACCATATGCACAAATTTAACACTATAAAATGGGTAGAGAGAAAAAAAAAAAACATGATATATCAAAATTTGAACGTTACCAAAAATGCCTTCCTTTTACTTCATACGATTTTGGTAAGAAACAAAAAGGTGTGCGCCACTTGGAGGGACATATTCCTAAGCTGGGCTCCCCTTTGATTATTCCATACGTAGATATAAATATAGCCGTTCGTTGTATCCTCCTTTTGAGGTTTTTTTTTTCCCTCACATTTTGCTTAATATTGTCGCCACGTTTATTCCAATTTTGTTCATTTTTTACGCATTGGGTGGGAATTCTTTAAATAAGCTGCTAACTGGAGGGGAGTCACATTTTTTGCCTTTTTTTTTTCCCCCCCCACCGCCGAGTGCACTTCGGCGGGGTTGATTATCTGCCCATTTTTCTCCTATTTTTTTTGCGAAGTAAAAGCAGGAGTAACCAAAATGTTTTTTTTTTAGCATGTCCGTACATTCCGAGTTGCATTATAACATTGGCTCTCTTCGGAGATGCCGTTTGTTAAAATTGGAACGATACAGAGAAGATTAGCATGGCCCCTGCGCAAGGATGACACATGACGTTCGAGAAGGAATGTAATTTTTTTTTTTCTTTTTAATGTTGCAAGTTTATCCCAACGGTCGGTTAAATAAAAGGGCTTACTTAATATATACATATGTATTAGTAGTAATTTACGGTTTTCCCGAATTGGCATATTTTTTTTTTTTTTTCAACCCCCCTTTGGATAGACGACGCGAAACTGTAATTCCCCTTCGGGAAAGAAGAAATGGGGGAATTTTATCTTTCCCAGCCTTCCATTATACGTGGAAACAAACAAAACTAGGGGCTTCTTATTTTTAAAATAAAAAACAAAAGGGGAAAGGCGTGCCTAGCAAAAAGACTTTCCCGTGCTTCCCCATTTTATGTACAATCCAAAGTAGGGTTCTTTAAGAGTGCCCCCCTCCGAAAGGGAAAAATGATGGCATAAGACTGCAATGCGATCAGACGGAGAGAAATGGAAAAGAGACTCCTTTTCTCTCCCTCCCACGACATCGAACAAGACAACCTCTTATTGTAAGCTTCACCGCAATAAACACAAAATGACGAGGTGACTACTGGGTTCCATTTCTTACCACCGCGCTGTTCTCTAAAAAGCTCATCTTATGCTGCTATTCGGATAAATCTATCCATGATGTCCCCATCTGGAAAGCTAAAAGAAGTTTTTATCCACGCCCATGTGTGTTCTCTCTCACATTATGGCATTTTATTCCTGGTAAGGGGGGCCAGAGAAGAAGTGGCCATATAGTTAACCAAAGAATAATTTTCTTACACTTGGAATTTATTTCAAATTGACATTAGCACTGTACTTGCACGTGAAAATGAGCATAGAAGGAAAAAAAAAAGTGATTTCAATCAGCCTAAAAAAGTAATTATTGTGTCCTCTTTTTTTACATTTTTTAAAAATTTTATTTATTTTTTTGTTTTTGGTAATTACCCCCGGCGGGATTCGAACCCGCAACCTTTGGATTAGAAGTCCAACGCGCTATCCAATTGCGCCACGAAGGCTTCAAATTAAAAAGTGCTTTTAATTACAATATTCCTAACGCACAAATTTAACCCTATGCATGCATGTCCTTTCTTTTCGCCACTTATTACGTACGTACATCGCACGTAATTTAACTCAGAAGGATTCACGGGAGGGTGAGTGGCCTCCCAGATTGGGTAAAATCAAAACCCAGGTGAGGCACCACACGATATTATTTTATTTCATTTTATCCTACTTTGTGTTATTTATTTATTCATTTATCTGTTATTTTATTTTCTGCGCACAATTCTGTTTTGCCAACTTGTGAGGTGACACAAAGGTTTGAAAAGGCAGCTCTGCGAAATGCGCCATACTCCCCATTGTGCTTCTCTGCGTGGGGATGGCAGAATGGAGTGACCTTTTCGGAAGCAGGAAAATATGAACCCAACCGGTGGGTGAGCCTCCCCTCAGTGGGTTATTCATGAAGTCGTGTAGCTAAAACCGCGCCATTGTGGCAAAGGCGTTCCTCCACGCAGAACATCGTGAAAGGGGCTCCACATTGGCGGGTCATACCCAAATGGCAAGGTTGAGAAATTTCGAGGCTTCATTTTTCCTTTTCCCATCGTGCCTCCCTGCGCGTGCATATTTTCGTTGCCCCAGTGGAGTTTCATCAGGGACAAGAAAAGGGAGGAAAATGGCCAAGTTGCGAAAATTGCACTGATCACATCGCATTGAAGGTTACTTGCCCCCACTATGTAATTTCCCTTCCCTTCGAAATTGCTTACCAAAAGGTGAAAAGGGAAAAATATTCACCTGAGTAAAATAACTGTCCCTCCATTTAACCATCGCGCAGGTGTATCATTACAAGCGAACGTTTTGTAGACACTGTTTTGGGATGAGCTCATTTAAGTAAAGCTCTTCTCTTTCACAGGAGCGATGAATCCTCTCCCTCTGATGGAGCATTGTACGGTACAGGACGACATTTGGGTAGGGCGTTGGCAAAACGGAGTGAGTTTACCCCCACGGCAGACCTGCAGCCGTATGAACACTAAGTAGAAACATTCGCAGCAGGCCGGATGGGTGTAACTTTGTAGGTGTACCTATACATAACTCCTACTCGTACTATTTGTTTGTATGTGAAAATGCTGTCCCCCCTGCGAACTTGCGCTGTTTTCCTCCTTACAAAGCTAGCTAACCATTTTTATTGCTAAATTAAAAAAAA